GAGCCCCCGCTTCCCACTGCTCGCCCTCTCCCCTCCCCCCTTCCTTGCCCGCATCTGCCACAGCCTCCCCTCCTGCTGCGTGGCTTCCTTCTCCCCTCCTGACTTCCCTGCAGCCCCTCTCTGCCTTCTCCCCCTTCCCAGGCCTGCGTGCCCTGAAAACTAGCCCCCCCCCTCCTTCTCATTCACTGGACCCATTGTTGTTTCCTGACCCTTTTCTTTCTACCTGCCCCAATTCTGGAGCCTACCCCCACTCCCCCACATTCCTGTTGCCTGCCCCCAGCCCTCCTTTCCAGTTGCCTGACTTTCCCACCACTTGCTTTCCTTCTCACTGCTGCTCCCCAGCCCTCTGCTTACCCCCTTTCTCCCATACCTGCTGTGAGCTTGCCCACATCCCCCTACTTTCCTGCTTCTTCTTGGGACTGAGATTTCACTATAGCCCTACTTATCTTGCCCAGGGGTATTAGTTATGGGCCTGGGCTACATCTAATATTGTCCATTCAGCAACCACAGGAGGATGCTTGGTTGAAGAGTCCGGTCCCAGAATGTTGCTGTACAACATCGCTTTAGGGACACTTCACTTCATGTTACATGTTCCTCACAGCTGTCGCTGACAAAAGAAATGGTAGGGTTGTGAATGGCTGTGTTAATACCTAGTCCAATCCCTTCAGTGTGCTTCAGACTTTACAAACTGGCCCTCGTGGATTTGCATTAGCCATTTTTGGGGTGGAATTGGGAGGCTGCTATTTAAGGCCTTATCTACTCAAAAGGGAAAAGCAATGTTACACCTAGAGCCACAAATATGGCTCAAGTGTTTTCCATGTGGCAATTGGAAGAAACCATCTATATGCAGCTTATGAATGTTTTGATAGGCTAACAGTGGTCAGTTTGTAATAAAAGAGGTGCTGTGGTTGGAGCCTTTTTTTTTTTTTAAACTTTCATAATGGACACATCAATCCCAGAGCTGCCAACGCTATGAACTGCCAAGACCAGTGGGGTCACGGCTCAGCCCAGGCACAAAATAAGTACTGTCCTGGGAGTCTACTTTGCAATTAGATACTCACAGCTGGCCCATGCACATTGACTTGGGCTTAGGAGCTATTTCATTGCAGTGCAAATGTTCAGGGTTAAGAAACCCAAGCTCTAGGATGCTTTCACCATATTGGAACCAGGACCCTAAGTTCTAACTCAACTCCAAATATCTCCATTGGTCAGGCACTTAGCCTGAGCCCTGACAGCCTACAGCAGCTGATGCAGGCCAGACTCACATTTTTAACTGCATGGTAGATGTACCTGTGTATCTTTCACACTGCAGCTGCCATTGTGAACATGGGACTAGTTTTCCCTGTTATTTCCATATTGGATTTACATTTCAAGGTCCAATAGTTCACAGAAGCACCCTTGCACACCATCCAAACCACATCGGTTTTTGAAGCATGAACTTCTATGGGAGGAACAGGAGCTAAGCAGCAGATCACACATCAGAGGACATTTTAGAGAGTGGGTAAAGGGATCTAAAAGCTAAGTACTCAAGGGAGAGGGGTGAGAGGAAGGGAAGGCAAAAATCTTGGATTATTTACAATAAAAGACAAAGAATGCTCAAGAGTGGTGAAGAAACAGGTAGGGAGATATACAGATCTAAACAAAACAAAGCATTTGTGTATGTTATTTTCTTATGGATCCTTTGCAGAGTATTATGTGCATGTTCCTGAAGGGATGACCTAAGGCAGCTAGAGCAGGGGTGTCCAAACTTTTTTCAAAGAGGGCCAGATTTGATGAAGTGAGCATGCGTGAGGGCCGACCATTTTGCCTGACATTCTTTGAACCATTAAAATTAAATGCAAATTAACTATTTTATGCAAAGTTTATTGCAAACGGCATACTTTTCATTTCGTCACATGGATGACAAATCTAAACAGGTGTTAAATCACTCTGCCTTTCATATCTGAAGGCCAGATGAAAAAAAAATCCAGGAAGCTGAAATATATGTCAGGAACATTGTAAAGTACATTACATATTATTGGTAATAAAGGTTGTCTGTCAACTTTTAAGTTCAAAAAATATGAACAGGAACATAACACCAAGTATACATGTTGTGTCCAAATATATTTATAACTGATTTAGACCAACTGACATTAACTGAGATTTTACAATGTATTCATATCAATACATATGGATTAGTTGGGGGCCATAAAAGATAGATATTGCCAAATTACCTGGGGGCCGTATTAAACCGGAACACGGGCCGCAATTGGCCCAGGGGCCGGACTTTGGACATGCCTGAGCTAGAGTGTCCAAGGGTGGAGGCCTGAGAAGGGATGTGTTCAAACAAGGGGAGGGTCTGGGAGAAGGGGGTCAGAACTGGTCCCAGGGAGCAAAGGCACTGGACCCTGAGGTCTCATGTTCATAAAGGGGTAGCAATCTGATTGAAGCATGCCAGGGGCTGAAGCCCACAGACTGAAGGAAGCATCAAGTATAATGTTCAATGACTAGGAAACCAAACAAGTGGGAAGAGAAGAGGGGGGGGCATGCTGGAGAACAATGCAGCAAGCGGCAAACGTTCCGCTGCTTTGCAGGGTGGCGGGGGAAGCCCCACGCAGCTGCCGGCAACAGGCTGGCTGGGGAAAAAGTGTTATTCCGGGGAAGGTTGTGTAATTCAAAAAACGTTCCCAAAAAAATCATGCTATCGCAAAAATGTGTTAAGTGGGCACGTGTTAAATGAGGATGTACTGTATACTACATCCACCTCTTCTCCCTTATCCACAAGACTCATTACCTATCAAAGAAAGCTATAGGCACCTGGTGGCTGTTTCTGAAGCTGCATGGAACCTTGGCAGATAAACTTGCTTTAGCCCTAAACTGCAGGTGCCATGAGGCACTAGGACGGAGGAAGGGAGAGAACAGCTCATCAGCAGGGCAGGCAGACCCTTTGGATTTCCCTAAGGGACCAGTTTGAGAAATAATGGTACTGAGTAAAAGTACAAAAGATCAGATATCACAATCCAAGATGAGTTTCACGGTTGTGACTTTGTAGGGCACTGTTTATACTGTTTCATTAAGAGGCTATTCTATAAGCGATACAGTGCTGTGCTGTAATTTCACAGTGACATTTTATTTTTTATATTTCCATTCATAGATTCTTTAACAGGCAAATATGGAGTGTTTGTGCCTGAACTGGCAATATTTCTAATAAAGGAATAGAATAAAAGCTCTGGTAAATTGTATATAAGCACTTGGACAATCCTTTTCATAATTAAAATTTGCTGGTCACTAACACAGATATTAGTATGTAGAATTTTTATCTGTTCATTTACGTAGGGTGGAGTGAGTCAAAGAATAGCAAATGGTACCAATTAAAAGGTTTATTCCATGCAGTTTGATATGGGATACTAAAACACAATAGATTTCTATTCATGATAGATTTCCCACTTACATTAGAGAAAGAGTAGTAAAATGGGAAAGACTTAGCATTTTGCTTCTGTAAAATTTAATATTCCTCTCCTTCATCCTCTCCATCAATGGAGTCTGTGCCCACTTCCTCATAATCCTTCTCAAGTGCAGCCAAGTCTTCCCGAGCCTCTGAGAATTCTCCTTCCTCCATCCCTTCTCCCACATACCAGTGAACAAAGGCACGTTTGGCATACATCAAGTCAAACTTGTGGTCCAGACGGGCCCATGCTTCAGCAATGGCTGTGGTGTTGCTGAGCATACAGACTGCACGCTGAACTTTGGCTAGGTCACCTCCAGGTACAACAGTTGGTGGCTGATAATTTATACCAACCTGGAAAAGAAGAGGAGAATACACTTAGTTTTCCTGTAGGGTTTGGTGACGGCTGTAATTAGTTTGTTACTGACCACAGCAGTAAAAGCAAGATAAGCCCACTAGACACCTGCACTACAGCTTTAGGAATATATTTCAATAAGCCATTTATATAGAAGGAGGGAATGAAAAGCCATTGTATAATCATTTAGCAGCTGTAAGAGACTTGCCTTAAAACCAGTAGGACACCAGTCAACAAACTGGATCGTGCGCTTGGTTTTGATAGCAGCAATAGCAGCATTGACATCTTTGGGGACAACATCACCACGATACAACATACAACAGGCCATGTACTTGCCATGGCGAGGATCACACTTCACCATCTGATTGGATGGCTCAAAGCAAGCATTGGTGATCTCAGAAACAGAGAGTTGTTCATGGTAGGCTTTCTCTGCTGAAATAATTGGGGAATAGGTTACCAGTGGGAAGTGAATACGGGGGTAAGGCACCAGGTTAGTCTGAAATTCTGTCAGGTCCACATTTAAGGCACCATCAAATCTGAGGGAAGCCGTAATGGAAGACACTATCTGACCAATAAGGCGATTGAGGTTTGTGTAGGTAGGGCGTTCAATGTCCAGATTCCTGCGGCAAATGTCATAGATGGCCTCATTGTCAACCATAAAGGCACAGTCGGAATGCTCCAGAGTGGTGTGGGTAGTTAAAATGGAGTTATATGGCTCAACAACAGCTGTTGAGACCTGCGGTGCAGGGTAGATTGCAAATTCTAACTTGGATTTTTTTCCATAGTCGACAGAGAGGCGCTCCATCAGCAGAGAAGTAAAACCTGAGCCAGTGCCTCCACCAAAACTGTGGAAAATCAGGAAGCCTTGCAAACCAGTGCATTGATCAGCCTGAAAGAAAGAGAACATTTTACAGTGGGCAGGTCTGAACATTTTGAATTAAAAAACCATCAAGCAAAACCTTCTAAGGCGCTCACATGTCTGCTTAGTTCTTATGAATACAAAAAGTTATTTATCTAGCAGAGGATTAGGCTAGCCCTTCTTCCCAGAAGCCAAAACGAGACATTCTTGGTCATCAATCTGCTATGAGTCTCCTTAGTATAGATCCACTTCAGTGACACCATGTATTTTACAAGACTCATTTATACCCTTTTCATCTCAGAGAAAGAGAGAAAGCTAGAATTGTCAGCTTTATGTCATTTAAGTAATAATTATTCACTCTACGTGGCAGCGTGTAGAATCAGCCAGAAACTTTTATATTTACAACATAAACAAATTGATTTGAGAGTCTAGACAGATCTAGAACTGCCTACTACTAGTCTATGTTCCAGTGTGATAAGTGGTATTTAAACTCTGCATATTCCCAAGGAATATCATGAGGTTGCTAAATTTAGTAAAGTGAATTGCAATATACAGTAAAACTCCAGTTGTCCGGCATCCAGTGGTCTGACACTCCTGCTAGTCCGGCACCACCTGCAACCCGGAAGTGCTCCAGGCAGCCGGACAATTGGAGCTGCTCTGCCCTGGGCTTCCACAAGTCAGCCGCTGGTCAGTTTCAGCAGCAGCTGACTTGGGGACACCCGGGGCAGAGCAGCTGGGGTGCTGCTGGGTTGGTCCTGCAATGCTGCCCCCTCATCCTCGCCACCCCACCCCAGACCCCTCATAGCTCCCCCCTTCCGATAGTCCAGCATATTTGATAATCAGGCACCCCCTGGGTCCTAAAGGTGCCAGATTATCGGAAGTTTACCGTTATTGGACTATTCAAGGAAGCTCTAGTTTGAATCCTGAAGCTGTTAAAAATTAACACTGCATTTTCTCTAGAGTGCAGGGTCACATTCTGGTCAGCAATAACTCCCAGAACCAATTGGCAAGTTGGGACAGTCTGAAAGAGACAAGGGAGCACGTCTACACTGGCATGTTCTCATGCAAAAACTCTTTTGCGGAAGAGTTCCTTCTGCAAAAACTCTTCCAGAAGAAAGCGTCTACCCTGGCATGTGTTTTTGCACAAGAGCCTCCATGCCAGTGTAGACGCTCTCTTGTGCAAGAAAGCTCTGATGGCCATTTTAACCATAGGGCTTTCTTGCGCAAGAAATTCATGTTGCCTGTCTACACTGGCCTCTTCTGGAAGAGCTCTTGCACAAGAGGGCTTCTTCCTGAGCGGAAGCGTCAGAGTTCTCACACAATCAGCCCTGATTTTATACATTAGAACGTCAGTGTACTTGCGCAAGAACATGCAGCCAGTGTAGACAAGCAGCAAGTTTTTGCACAAGAGCAGCCACTTTTGTGCGAGATCGCGCCAGTGTAGAGACAGCCAGAATGTATTGTGTTAGTCTTTCTAAACAGGTCTGTGAGTGCATACAAGACTAACACGTACACCCTTAGTGTAAATAGAATGTTTAGTGCTCAAAGCGCATCTGGGAATATTGTTTAGACGACAGATTACCAAACCAGAGGGAAATTCTATACACTGGCTATTCTGTATCCATAATATCAGCTATGCAAAGTACATGCTAACTACCTCTAAAAGGAGCTGCTAAATATACAACAAATATTTGTAACTTGGACTTCACCTCAGCTAGTTCACCACATGGAGCACATGAAGGAGCCACAGACCTCTCCCACTTTGTATCTTTGATCTCAACACATTAAGTTAGAAAGAAATACATTTGAACATGAAGATCAGATTTCAGCTCACAAAAGCAAGTACTCAAGAGCGGAGGTGAAAATCCTGCTATGACTGCACCTAAGGTCTGGTCCCTTCCTATCTGTAACAATGCAAACTACGCTTTTTAGGCAAGCTGAGGAAGTGGTTCAATTACATTCCAAGAGGAGATCACAAGGTGTATTAGATCTTCCTCTGATTGGAGTCATCCATTGACACAATTGAAGAGAATGGCACAATTTGACATTAGAATGCCACAGCTTTTACATCTATGGATCACCAATCCACTAGAGCTGAATGCTGAGCCCCACACATCTCAGAGCACTAAATTTGGCTCATTTCCAAACTTTACAAACCATGATGTAGAAAACTCTTCAGTGCAAAGGGGGAAAAAAATTGAACTTACCAGTTTCCTGATACGTTCCAGAACAAGGTCAATGATCTCTTTCCCAATAGTGTAATGACCTCGAGCATAATTATTAGCAGCATCCTCCTTGCCAGAGATCAGCTGTTCAGGATGGAAAAGTTGCTTGTATGTCCCATTCCGTACTTCATCTGGAAGTGTATTACACACGTGAGTTTACAGTTAATTTTGGTTTAGACAAAAGTTTAAGAAGCTCACATGCCTGAATCCACCCCTACCTCTAGACAACTCAAAAAGTATCTCAGAGTTGCATGCATAATGTTATGCACATACCACTCTGGCACAGGCCAAAATTAAACTATGAAAACAACTCATTTGATAGTGATAGAAATGTAGCTGTGTTCATTTGATAAACATTTTGATTTAAGCAGCAAAGCCAGAAGGTGTAACAATGCTCCAGGCTGACCTCCTGTATAACAGGTCAGAGATTTGCTCCCACAATTCCTGCAGTGGGGAAAGTCTTCTTTCCCTTTATATACAGTGCATAACTGGTTGGATAACTGTTCCCAAAGAGTCATTATCAGTGGTTCACAGTCATACTGGAAGGGCTCCACAGGGACCAGGTCTGTTCAATACTTTTAACAACAGTTTAGATAATGGCATAGAGTGTGACACTTAGTTGGGAGGAGCTGCAAGTGCTTTGGAGGATAGTATCCAGATCACTTTGAATTATAATAAACTGGAAAAATGATCTGCGGTAAACAGGATGGCATTTAATAAGGACAAATGCAAAGTACCCCAACTTGGAAGGAACAATCAGTTGCATGCATACAAAACGGGAAGTGAAGAAACATGAGCTATGAGGGAAGATTGAAATAATTAGGTTTGTTTAGTGTGCAGAAGACTCAGAGGGGGCATAACAGTTTTCAAATACCTCAAAAGTTGTTACAAGGAAGAAGAAAAATTGGTCTCCTTAACCTCTGAGGATAGGACAAGAAGCAGTGGGCTTAAATTGCAGCAAGGAAGGTTTAGGTTGGATATTAGGAGAGACTACTTGTCAGGGTGGTTAAGCCCTGTAATAAATTGCCTATGGAGGATGTGGAATCTCCATCATTGAAGATTAAGAGCAGGTTAGACAGACATCTGTCAGGGATGATGTAGATGGTGCTTGGTCTTGCCTGCAGGGCAGGGGACTGTACTTTATGACCTCTCGAAGTTCCTTTCAGTGCTATGATAAGGGCTACATCAAACGTGTAATTCAACTAGAAGTTACTGAGCTCTTACGTTAACCTTCCAATTTCTATTTAAGGAATAAACATATTTGTAAAGATTATTTAGGCACCTAAAGATGCAGAAACCACCCCCAAAAGTACCTAAACACACAGACTACGTCTACATTGGCCCCTTCTCCGGAAGAGGCATGTTAATTTCCAACTTCGGAATAGGGAAATCTGCGTGGGATTTAAATATCCCCCGGGGGATTTAAATAAACATGGCCGCCACTTTTTTTCCGGCTTGGGGAAAAGCCGGAAAAAAGCGTTTAGACTGGCGCGATCCTCCAGAATAAAGCCCTTTTCCGGAGGATCTCTTATTCCTACTTCAAAGTATTCCTTATTCAAAGTAGGAATAAGAGATCCTCTGGAAAAGGGCTTTATTCTGGAAGATCGCGCCAGTCTAGACGCTTTTTTCCGGCTTTTCCCCAAGCCAGAAAAAAAAGCGGCGGCCATGTTTATTTAAATCCCCCGCGGATTTCCCTATTCTGAAGTTGGAAATTAACATGCCTCTTCCGGAGAAGGGGCCAATGTAGACGTAACCACAGTGAAACCAGAAGAGAATTAAGTATGTCCAGGCACTTTTGAAGATTGCTCCAGGTGCTATAATACCCTTATAATTTGGGGCTAGATTTTTAATTTACCACTTCCTAGGGCAATTCCTTCAGATGGCTGTTTAACAAAATGGCTATAAATCTACATCTTATTCTAATAGTTTTTTTCCTAGATTAACCTCAGCCATTTAATCCCATGCCTTTGTTTGCTAATTTGAATATCCACCAGGAGCAAGTAATTTCAACTGCTTCCCCCAGTGTTTTCTTAGTTCTGAGCTCTTTCCAATTTTTCTACATCATTCTGAAAATAGGAATCCCTAGAACTGGCAACACTATTTCAGTAATGGTTCCATCAATGCTATATTTCAATGTGTAACCACTTCTACTCAATATTCTCAATGTTTGGGATGCATTATTCAGTCTTTTACTAGATCTTGCTTTTGGTAGTGTGAAAAACCATGTCTGATTGCTTGGTAAAATGGGTGCAATTCAGATTGTTGTGTTAAGTCTTATCACACCAGTCTATACTTCACCTGGAAGAGGAGTTAGAAGAGGGCATACTTACCCACAGAGTAACTAGACGTGGAATATTCCACAGTCAGTGAGCACATCTAGTGTGCATAAGCCAGAGAATGTTCTAGTCAAGAGTATCTTTGGGTTGGTGCATGCATTCATCCTTCCTTGTGTACTTCACAAGGGCATGATAGGCAGAATCACCCTGACACCAGTTTTCACCACGAGAGCCAATCATAATTGAACTCCAAAGTAGCAGGGATGGCATGTGGGTCATGGAATATATGTACAGACCAAACATTTCATAGAACACCCTTTACTGTGCAGGTAAGTAAACTCTGCATGCTGAACATGATGTTCCATCATCTCTGGCTTTTTGCACCAACATGTGGACAACCATCTTGCTGCTTTTCAAATTTCTGGATTGGCAAGTTTGCTAGAGAATCTACAGAGGTGGAATGATCCCTGGTGGAGGGGGCATGTACTTAGGCTATCAAAATAGATAGCCCAGTGCAACCCAAGAAGGACCTGTGTAGATATAGCCCATCCTTTGATTCTCTTTGCATAAGCCAAAAACAACTTAAGAAACTTCTAGAAGGATTATGTCCTGTCAAGACAGAATATAGCTCTGTGCATGTTCAGTAGGTACAGCCTATGCACAGGTAGGTGCATGGCCTTCCTGGTGTGGATTCTGACATCTTAGGAAGACACCTAGCATACAGAGATTTTTAAGGCCAGAAAACTCGCAAAAATTTATATTTGGTATAATATTCCAATGATTAGTTACTGTCACGGTTAAAAGTTTATGACTTATTTCCATTCTAGTTTCAACTTCTCATCATTGGATTATAACTGTCTCTGCTGGATTAAAAAGGGGCATTATTAAATACCTGTTCCCACTTAGAGATGTATAAGCTAATCAAGTCACCCCACAACCATCTTTGTTCAGCTGAATAGGTTGATCTTGAGTGTCTCACTTTAGTCATGTTTAAATCCTTAGCAGCTGTCAAATGCAGAACTAAAATAACATTTCTAATTCTGCTCCTGGAACACATTAGCTCTTCTTTTGACCACTGCATCACACTAAGAGCTCATGTTCAACTGACTGTCCACAACGACCCCTAAATCCTCTCAGTCAGTGCTTCCCAGAATTAAGTCCCCCCACATCCTGCAAGGATGGACTACATTCTTTGTTCGTAGACAGACAGTACAAAATGTGTGTGTATCAGTTAATTCTGAATGCAAAAAATCCACCTTGATTAAAAAATTGCAATTACTTACAATGTTAACAATAAAAGTATTTTTCAATTCACCTCAATCTCAATGCAATCTCTCATGTCAAAGTGTAACTTACTTCACCTTTTTGTTGGTTACCTAAATTAATTCAAACAAAACAATGCAAAAATGTACAGCCTACAAGTCCATTCAGTCCTACTTCTTGTTCTGCCAGCCACTAAGACAAACAAGTCGTTTAAGTTTGCAGGAGATATTGCTGCTTGCTTCTTTAGTTTTACCAAAATGTGAGAACAGGCATTTACATGGCACTTTTGTAGCTGTAGAGCAAGGTATTTACAAGTCAGATATGCTAAACATTCATATGCCGTACCCCTTCATTCTTCTGTCACCATTCCAGAGGATGTGCTTCTATGCTGATTATGCTTGTTAAAAAATGCAATAATTAAATCTGACTGAACTCGTCTCCTGCTCAGTTTTACCAGAATTCTGCCATATGTTTCATGTTATGACAGCCTTGGATGTTGACCCAGCACATGTTCATTTTAAGAATGATTTCACTGAAATTGGACAAAACCTAAAAAAGTACCAATGTGGTATTTCTAAGCTACAACACTCAATTCAAGGTTTAAGAATCTGAAGTACCATCCAAAATCTGAGACATATAAGGCATGGAGCAAGCTTTCAGAAGTCCTAGGAGCAACACTCATGCTGAAACTACATAACCCAAACCAGCCCCAAAAAAGAAAATTAACCTTCTACTTTGTGGCATGTGACTCAGATGATGAAAATGAACATAAGTCAGTAACCAAAACCCACTATCAGCATGGAAGCAGGTCCTCTGGAATAATGGTTGAAGCATGGGGGGGTCATGAATCTTTAGTGCATGTGGCACCTAAAGATCTTGCAATGCCCGTTCTTACTTGCAGTGTCACTAGAAAACACGAAGTAGGCAGTATTATCCCCTGCAAATTGTAACCAAAGTTGAAGTGATTGGCTGAGTAAGAAGTAGGAGGAGGACGACGACCTGTAGGCCCTTAAAGTGATGCATTGTTTTGTTTGCGTGAAGTTTTTTAACCTATTTCTACATGTGTAAGTTCAGCTTTAATAATTGTACGTGTACTGTAGTGTATTGAAAAGTACGTCCTGTGCATTGCAAATATTTGTAATAATAAAGTTGAGTACTGTACACTGTGTTGTAATTGAAATCAATATACAGTATTTGAAAATGTAGAAGACATCCAAAAATCACAATTATTAATTTTTAATTGCTTGACAGCCGTAATACATATTAACACCACACTGTGTGCTTGAACCCACTTTACAAAGTGATCTAGATCATCTGAATGGATGATCTCTATTTACTATGCACCCAATTTCAGGGTTATCTGCAAATTTTGTCAGCAATGATTGTTTTCTCTTTCAGGTTATCTATACAGATGTTAAATAGCTTTCTCCCCCCCCCTCCCCCCCAGCTATTAACAGTGTTACAACTGCCAGCAAAGTTGCCACACAAGTCTGAACAAGCACATTTATTCTTGAGCAAAAATAGATTTAAGCACACTCTTTTTGAGCCACCCATCAATGTTAAGGAGCCTTACTTGGCTAGAGCCCTTTTAATCTTTCTGCAGAAAATGGGCCCCTCTTGGACAGAAGGTCCAGCGCTAAAAGGAGGATGCCGACTAGAAAAGGGGATTGAGAAAGAATTGCAGAAGTCAAATTCCAATAAGTATTATAAATAGTTGGCTCAATCCTGTTCATTTACACAAGTGTTTACAGTTAGAAGAAAATATGAAAAGCCCAGAAGTATATGCACAAAAGCAAGGTGGTTAGAGAATTCTCAAGATGTACAACATCCAGTAAATCTGGAAAGGCAGCTGGTGCCTGTCGATATTTTGGTGACATTTCAACACTAGCTGGGAGAGGGGGCAGGAAGCCACAAGGAACTCATCAGGCATTCTGCCAGGAGCCGCTGCACCTAATATTTGTGATTTCGCCATTCATAGTAGTGGCCAGGAACACATTCATTGCCAATGATGAAAGTTCACTGTACAACACTGCGTACTATATTTACCTATCACTGCGGGTTCCAGATCCACAAACACAGCACGGGGGACATGCTTTCCTGCACCAGTCTCACTGAAGAAGGTGTTAAAAGAATCATCACCACCACCAATTGTTTTGTCACTTGGCATAGTGCCGTTGGGCTGAATGCCATGCTCCAGGCAGTAGAGTTCCCAGCATGCATTGCCAATCTGCACACCAGCTTGGCCAACATGGACTGAGATGCACTCACGCTGTACAGAGAAAATAAGAAAATTAACGTTTCTTAGCAGGAACAGTGGCTTTGTCGCCTAGCAAAATAAATAGCACAGACTGCCTGGAACTATCATACTTCACAATTATTAAAACTACACCCAAAACATTGGCCTCATTTTGTAGTAGGGTTAGTGACAACTGGGACAGAGTCCAACTGTCACACAACCTTCCTTCAGTCATCTATTTTCACAGAGGAAAACCTTTTGGACATTGTCAAGTAACATTTTATAAGCTCATATTCTCTCAAACACCTGAAGGCAAAGTTTCACCTACTCCCACTTCTCCAACAGATTGTCCTCTCCCTATTTGAGCAATATTGATTTTTACATTTGGAAAGTATGTAAAGGTTAAAATCCCATTTAAACAGTCAGCACCAGCCCGTGGGTCATTGGTATAAGACAAGACATTCTCTCTCTCCTGGACACCATATCTGTGCCATCCCCAACTCCAGTTTATTTAATTATTAGATGCAGCACAGCCAACAAAGGGAGCACAACATTGGAAACTGAGGTAACTTCATTTTTTCCCTTTTAAATTAGTACATATAAAGCCAGAAAACAATCCTTCTCTATCCTATTAGTCTTAAAAGTATATAAAATCTGAACCCAACCACCACCTTTTCACCATTTTGTTTAGGTTACACTGACCAAGTTAAGCTGTACATCCTTAGAGCCCTGCGCAGATACAAAATGTGTATCCACATCCATATCTGCAAATTTACAGGGTTCTAGATATAAAATGTTTATCTGCCTCCATGGATATAAAGCAGATATGCAGGGCTCTGTGTATCCTATAAGGAAAATACTTGTTTGTAAAATGATTCCCCCTACTGTTGAATTTATATCACTATGGAACTTTAGTTTGGAAAAAGCGATTAAATCCTTCTTACACTGAGAAATACACAAAAAGCACAGCATGCATTATTGCTTTGTGTAAGGAATCTAGTCAGCACTGATAAATGTCCTAACACTGTCTGAGCAAAATTTTTCTGCAACCTCACCAGCCAGCTCAACTGCCAAGCTTAGCACAGACGGTCAGAAGACAGTATTGAAGTGTCAACACCAGTTTTAAACTCACAGAACACTGACTCTGCCCCACATTACCACTGAAGAAAAAAACTTCAGTGCCCTTTTTAATATATGAACGTATGGCCTGCCTCTACAAAATGGTCCTCACCACACCCCTGAAAGGTAGGCAGAGATTTAAATTTAATAGATGGGCAGGTTGAGGCAGACCTTAAGCAACCTGATTTCAGCTACACAAGTCAATAACAAAGCTATGATTGAAACACAAGAGTCTTTGTGTCCCCAGCTCTGTTCTCATTTCTGTAGTCCAGGGTTCAGCAACCTTTCCTAAGTGACATGCCAAAATTTAACCCTCCTGCCCTGGGCCATGCTACTCTTGCGAGAGTGGGAGAAAAGGGGCGAGAGGCTCTCTCCACCGTGCGCCCTGTGAACCATCTGGGTCAATGAAAACCTTTCCATGAACCACCAGTTGCTAATGGAAACTCACCATTAATTACATAATTATGCCCCAGCCATTTTGCTAGTGCTGCAGCTGGGGAGAACAGTTTAATTTAAATTATTAAACATATTAAGCATTTTAACTCATGTTCATTTATTAAACTTTATTTGTAATAAAAGTAAAATGTGTCAAACAACAGGTGCCATAAATAAATAAACACTGTTCTTTATTTATGGCAGGGGTCTGGAACCTTTTTGAAGTCAGGGGTCACTGACCCAAAGAAAAAAATCATTTGGGGACCATACAAGTGAAAAGCAAAAAACCTCCTCCCAAAACCCCCAGCGCTCACTGATGTGGCCCCCAACTGAGACCACTCAATCTTTTGGCACTCCAGCCGCCACAGGGTGAGGGGAAAGGACAGGGAGGACTGAGGTTCAGGTCTTTCCATAGACCAGCATTATTTTTCTGGGGTTCCAGAGTTTGTGGATTTTGTGAATCCCCTTAGTCTCTCAGGTGGGAACAAAAATGAAGAGTTCAATGTGTGGGGCAGGGTTGCCAGCGAGTGGGAGAGGAATGTAAAATCTGGGCGGGAGGCGGGGTATAGGACAGGGTGAGGAGGGCAAGGCCCGGAAGGGAGTTTGGCAGCAGGAGAGGGTATGGGATGGGGGTATGAGAGGGAGTCTGGGGAGTAATACAGAAAAGGTGAGAGTAAGAGAATGCAGCCAAATAGCTTGTTGGGGAGGGAGGCATAGAAGTGGGGAGTAAAGGAAAGTGCAGCTTCTACAAAGTAAACTTGTATCCCTTCTCCCATCTTCCCACTCCTCCAGCTTCACTCCCCTCAGCCCCATGATCCTCCCCTCATGATCCCCCCCAGCCTGACCCCTTGCATCGCTTCATGCCCCCCCAGTCCAACCTCTGCCCCCACAGCCTGATCCCCTGCATTGCCCCATGTCCCTCAGTGCAACCTCTGTTCCCTCCCATCTTGCCCCTGCGTCCTCCTTCATCCCCGCTCTTGCTCAGCGCATTCACTCCCAGCCCCCCAGGAGCAGCACTGGGGCAAGTAGAGACAGGGGACAGAGTCTCTTCCCTGGCCAGCCCTTTCCCTGCAGCTCCAGGGCTGCCTCCAGCTGTCCAGGGGCTGTGGGGCACTGGGAAAGGTGCCCATAGAGAGCAGTTCAGTGCAACCTGGGCTCTGGCACACGAGGGCTGTGTCTAGACTGGCCTGGTTTTCTGGAAAATCAGCCACTTTTCCGGAAAAACTTGCCAGCTGTCTACACTGGCCTCTTGAATTTCCGCAAAAGCACTGACGATCTCATGTAAGATTGTCAGTGTTCTTGCGGAAACACTATGCTGCTCCCGTTCGAGCAAAAGTCCTTTTGCGCAAAAGGGCCAGTGTAGACAGCTCAGATTTGTTTTCCGCAAAAAAAACCCAATCGCGAAAATGGCAATCAGGGCTTTTTTTCCGGAAAAGCGCATCTAGATTGGCACGGACGCTTTTCCGCATAAAGTGCTTTTGTGGAAAAGCATCCAGGCCAATCTAGACGCTCTGGTCCGAAAAGGCTTTTAACAGAAAACGTTTCCGTTAAAAGCATCTCTGGAAAATCATGCCAGTCTAGATGTAGCCCATGTGTGCTGGCCACCCAGCCCCGCCCCCTTCCAAAGCAGAAGGCAGAGTTAGGGATGCACCCGCACCTCCCCCACACATAGCCCCCAAGAGGAAGTCAGCACTGGTGCTGCACAAGGGGGCGGGGGCAGGGCTGAGTTTGTGCCAGTAAAAATCAGCTCATATGCTGCTTGTGACATGTGTCCCAGGGGTTGCCAACCGTGCTGTACTCTGTTAAAGTGCCTTCCATCCAAGGGCTAAAGCTCAAGAACAGGTGTCTGGATTTATGTTGCCAAGCCATACTTGAGTCTTGTCTACTAACTACTACAGTAGCAGTGTACACAACTACAGCCCAGCTGACATAGGGAGCAAATCTTTGTCTATAGGAAGGAGGCGGCTGTAGAATGCAGAATGTTTCTGTGATTCCTTAATAAGGAATCTCCCTGATACCAGAAACACAGCAGACAGGGCAGGATGGGAGAGAGAGTGGAGATGAGGTGGAACACACTGCTATGCCAGGGAGGGAGGAAGGCAGGGGCAGATATGAGGGTGTTGCCATCCCTCTGACTCAGTATTGGTTGCTTCCAGCTGCTATCTGAACTTAAGATAGCATTCCAAAACACTCACTCCCCCCAACATATACTCCCTTTCCACACTCTTCCAGAATACGTGGTCTATCTTCTCCTCCCCACACACATCAGTAGAAAAGCATCTGGAAACCTATTAGGACCCCTATTAGGATGGAGTAATGGGATTGAGAAACGTACATAGCGCGGTTCTGTACCACAAGTAAGAGCCTACCAAATTCACAGCCATGAAAAATGCATCATAGATCATGAAATATGGCAGGCATGTTCAAAGTCCGGCCCGCGGGCCAATTGCGGCCCGTGTTCCGATTTAATTCGGCCCCCGCTTCCTCCCCTTCTTCTGGCTCCCCGGCGCTCCCAGCTTCCGGCCGCGCAGCCGCCGCCACCGCCCATGGCCTCCGCGGTCCTAGAGCCTGCCCTGTAGGGCACGTCCGCAGCCCCGCTCCCCCGCTTGGCTGCGGGTTCGCCCTGCCCCCGGGCCGCCGTGAGGCCGGCGTGCCCTGCGCTCTCCGCCCACCTCCGACCCTGCGGGCCCTCCGCCTTGGGGCTGAGAGTGTGGGGACGGCCCCCACGCATGTTCACTTCTTCAAATCTGGCCCTCTTTGAAAAAAGTTTGGACACCCCTGAAATATGGCCTTGTGTACTTTTACCTTATACTGGGGGGTTTCAATTTTCTTTCCTGAGGCACCCTGAACATGGTGTAGGAACTCCATGGCCCTGCCAACAATTGTTTATATGGTACATGCACACACTTATTAGAATGCACATGAGCAACCACCCAGAGATGATAAAGTACTATTATATTGAAAATCCACAAGAGGATTCATATTTTTCCATCCACAAAGACACTATAGAAAGGGGTCAGGCTCACCCCCATTTTACAGATGGGCAACCATTGGCATAAAGTGAGGTGACTTTCCTAAGGTCACCCAAACTAGAAGCAGAGCTCAGAATAAAAACCAGAGTCTGAGTCCCAATCCAGTGCCCTGTCCACCAGACTACACTGCCACCTGTTGGCTGTGTGGAAAGTATTGCCAGAGGTGGTCCTAAAATCAGAAACTTAAGTGATTCCATGATTAACATTGGCAATTCTTACAACAACTGATACCTTTACTAGGTATGTGACAGCATACATGTTTAAACGGTCAATCGACGACCCTGGGTATGAATTTTCAAAATAGATCAAGTTCACAACAGCTCCCATTTGTGATGTTCATGACTAGAGTCTCGGAAGTGCTTAGTGCCCAAAGTAAAGAGGCCAGATTTTCAGGTGAGCTCATCATTAGGTACCCACATGGGAGGCAAGCATTTCTGAAAGCTCCAACCTAGATAAGTGCCAAGCAG